CAGGTAATTTATGTAGTCCTCTGTTTCTTTCTGTTGTTAACCCATATCATTCAGGAAAATGTTCTCGATCTCATCCAGTTTTTATTATTATCAGTTAATACACTGTCAATAGCCTTCTTCAGTTCATCTGCTCTCTTTATGGAATCTTTAACCTTTGCAATTTCTTTCTTGACATTATTTCTAATTGATTCAATGTTATCTTTAGCCTTAGGAATGACTGTTTTCAGACCTCAGTTATTTTCTTCTGATATTGCTGTAGAATATCATTGTAGATGGTTCAATGTCACTTTTATCATGATCACTGTAATTTTGGGCAAAGCATGTAGAGCAGATAGGATCATGACAATTATCACAAAAGACATTTAATTCTTCTGTGGGGTGGATCTTGCATTTCTCTGAAGGAAGTTTTTTCTTTCTCTCCCTATAGAGGACAATCTCATGTCCACTGTTCTGCTCAAGATGGTGCTGTTTGCATTGGAAACAGATTCGCTGATGACAGGTATTACAATAAAACTCAGAGAAGTTTCTGCAGGATTTTGTGTCACACTCGATAAAGTGCTGGGCTGTATCTGGTACTTGATTCATTATTATTAATCAAAACTCTAGAAATAAAATTATATTTATTATTAGAGTGTATGTAAGGCCCTGTAATTTTTAAAGCTAACAATTTTGCTACTATACATTTGAAAAAGAAGAATAACCTACCTTCTTAAAACCTTTTTCTGTGATCTGGTAAATGATTTTTTTTTCATAATACCCTACAGTCCTGATTGATGTCAGTCATTGATAATCTATTTAATTGAACTGAATATATTACCTTCTTCAATGAAAAATATTTAAATCTCCGTGCATTCTTTGTAAAGTTGCAGAAGTTAAAGAAACAAAATGGGACTAGAATTAATACCGTGAAGTAATTAAGTTAAGGGTAGCATGAAAAGAGGACGATTATGTTAAACAATATAATTGTATGTTTTTGTTTACCATTAATGATAAAAAAGATCTGATTTCAGAATAAGAAAATTATGATAACTATGGAATGATCTCAGGCTCATGTATAATTATTAAACTGAAGGAATTTGTGCATTTTAGTATGAATATACTGTAAGAATCGTCATTAAAGAAGTTCAAATGCATTTACTGTTTAAGCTTTTTTTTCAGGTCAACAAACAGATTGATTAACAAAATAAGATTTTAAAGGGGAAAAAGCTTTATCAGTACATGCATTTGAATTGTATCTCTTTTTAAAAGGGGAGTAACAGAATCTGTTTGTCTAGCTGTCTCACTGTCTATCACAAAGCAAAAATTTGCTTGGAAAAAACTGAAAGTCATATATAAACTTTAAAATATGAACTGGATCAAGACCATGATAAACTATAAAATGTACAATTCTCAATGGAGAAGGACTCAAACCTTAATGTTTTATTGTATTCCCTTGACCCACTTATATGACAATTGTAAGCTTAAAACCTACTCCAGCATGCTAGAGGTTCACGGCGAGACACTCTTGACTTGGCTCTGTGAACCTCTAGAATCCATTGTAAAAATTCTCGCCGCTGAAACCCTAAGTGAAAATAAATTATTTAATCAAAAATTCAGGCTTTGAATATTCATTCAATATAACAGGGTCCTGAAACTCTTCACAAACCCAGACTAAGTCAGACTGCTTACCATCTGATGTGTGGAGAATCTGATGAAACACAGAAATCATAACAAGAAAGACCTCTAATTGTTGACACCCCCCCCCCTGAAAGACTGAAGAACAAGTCTACACAAATTTCAGATTCTATCGCAGCACATCTGTTCTCAAGGTTCAGTGCTATGTATGGGAATATCAAGCCTAGGTCAGTTTTATCCAGGTTTAAATTAAATCTTAAAATGTAGGTATTTACAAGATGCATGCATTTAAATGCAGGTTTTTTTTCAGTACATGTACATGTACTCATTTTCCAAATTCTCTTCAGTCAAAATCAATCATAGTTTTGATTTTATAAATTAAAAATATAAAAATTGGATTGATCTTTTACCATTGATTTTCTTCAAAAGGAAAGTTATTAATTAAAACTAATTTTGATTCATGGGTTGATTTGAATATATTTTGTGTATTTTAGCATGGAATTCAAAAAGCAAGGGAAAAATAAAAGATATAAAAAATTTAATCATTATAATGATAAAGATTAAAAACTATACAAATTAATTAAATTGTTTTATTAGAAAACTGCTGAGAGAGCACATCATCCAAGTTTTTGTATCTATACTTCTGTCCACTGTACAATGCTTAAAACAAAGGAATTGGAGGACAAATACAAACAAATTGTGTCAGAGTTGATCACATTCCTCCAGAATAAAGATCCTTCTCATAGGGACTATGAGCAAATAATTCAAACCATAAGAGATCTCCTGTGTGGAGCTCTGGGAACTGAACTCTTTATAGTCAGGGAGTGTTTGAGTGGAATACTTATAGTATCTGATGATGAGACTGATATGATTACAGTAGGGAGACAGTGGGTGTATGTAGGTCTACTGGGCATGCTCCTCCACAAATCAAAGACCCTGAAGTTCAAAGCGCATTAAATCTGACATTTATATAATGGATATAATACTTTTTGTGGGTAAATAATTCTGATGTAAGGACCACTAAAAGGACTGTAAACTCAATAGGCTTTTCTTTACATTTTTCCTTAAAAATGATTGAGATTGGTATATGATCTAAACATGATAAATTATGGTACGGCAAACACACAAAAGAAAAGCAAGAATTTACTTACAAAACGTCAGAGATACTCAAGCTGTAGAGTGTAAGCTCTGAAGTATCATGAATATCTTAAAAAGAAAGAAGACGCAGGCTATTAATTGCGTTTCAACATCAATACATATACGACGAAAAAAAACCGCATTTACATGCATGTAGTGACTTTATTACGAAGTTCCACGTGTCTGAAATAAAATTAAAACACCCTCAGAATTTATTTTTAAATTAAATTCAAAATCGAACTTAAAATTAATACATGTATTATGATTGTATACTACTTTCTAAAACAAATTGTGTATTTAAAAAAAGGGAAAAAAACGTTTCCCAAGAATAGTCTATGAAGCATAGTACTACGGCGGTAGATTCTTTTTTTTTTTTTTTATAAAATTGAAATATTGTAATCCAAGTAATAAATAATGTGCGCATTTATTTGTATTTTGTATTTATAAAATAACATCGTAAATCTGATTTGAAGCAATCAGAATAGCTTGAAATAGGCCTATAGGAATGACTTCAAAGTGACTGTGTGCACCTTTTCAATGATAGAATCTTCCGTATACGAGGGCCGTTTAAAAATTACGCGGACTTGTTGCACAGAAAAACTATTTGATGACATAATCGGGCAAAATATGACACATAATAAAAAAGAATCTTTACTTAATGGTCTTAAAAATTTCATATCAAAATATTGTAAATTGGTATCAATTTTGAGTGATTTTTCAGGACATGTCATTAAATCATGGAGCAGCAAAATCGTCGACGTCACAGGCATTATAAAAAATATATTTAATTGAGCTTACATATCGTCAACATCTTCCCAAGAGTACCTGAACAATTTGAGCTACATTATCTACTCAACACCCAAACACCATTTCTTGTCAAGCTTAAAATCTATTTAACAAGTAAAGAATATTCTTCTTTGTTTTAAAACTAAAAACTGCAGGTATTTGTGTGATATATTGTGATATTGCTGACTCTCAATCACGCTCTTTACAGTCCGGATAAAGTTTTTGTCTTTTATCTTCTTCCCTTCCTCCCTTATAGCCTTTTTACAGAGGTCTAACGGTCTAAAATTTCAATTTGCTATTTGTGGACGAATGTCACGAATACCCTAGTTTACTACATGTTTCATTTTGGATCTATGTTGGCGATGTCTCGAGCATTACACATTATTTAACAAAAGTGCGATGCGCGGTCAATTCAGCAGACCTCATTTTTACAGTCGTTTTCACGGGAATTGCATCGGAGAAAAATCACTATATTTCTGTTAGTACATCAAATATTACGTCCAAAATCTAAATACATAATAATAGAACAATTTAAAGGTACATTTGAGAAAACTGTGGAAAATAAATCACGAACTTGAAAAGAATTAAATATTTGATTTCGCATGCTTTTGCTTCAATGTTTTTGTCGTGCTCCATACCTCTCAATCAGCGATATCAACATACCGATAATTTTAGTAGAATTTTTTTAAAATACAGAAATTTTGCCCAAAATTAATTGGAATCTTTAAGATACATATTTATGTGAAATTTCATAACTATATGTCGTCTGTAAAAGTAAATAATAGCACAGTCTGCGTAATTTTTGAACGGCCCTCGTAAATCCAGAAACATGCCACTTGCGGCCGTGATATCCTGATTTAAAAAAAACGAAATTATAGACTTATAAGGGTAGAATTTAACATTAGTTTTAGTGTAATTAAAATAATTGTCACTCAGTTTAGGCAGATCATTGTAAGCAATGTTAAACGATAAGTCATCCTGTATCACCTTTCAGTTTAACCGATGAACTCGTCCATGGATGCAAGTTACCTGAGATCCCTACGCAAAGAAAAGCGCGAAATCTCTGAATAGATTATTTATTCGACATAGAAAAGAATCCAACATTTAACCCTTAATATCTTAGAATATATAGACATTTTCAGCAAAAGCTTCATTTTTGTCTCTTGAAATGTTTTTATTTACTCAAATGTTATATTTTCGTAAATCGATGACCTAGCATCGTTTTTGATAACTCAAGCTCTTCTAGGACTTGAGTAAAAAATAATTTCAAAAACAGAAACTCATTTGTCAAACCAGTTTGTTTGTACTGAGTTCACATTGACAGGGGTTGAGACATTATTTGATTTTACATTTGTTTTTGTTCGATTGTATATTGTTTAACGTCCCTCTCGGGAATTTTTCACTCATATGGGAAGCTACAACCTGCTGGTGGCATTCGTAATACAGTACATAAACTATTATCTTTACGTCTTGTGCAAATACTTGAACACAGAAACAGTAGAATTGTTCCTTCTTCCAACCCAGAGATTGTGTTGATCATCAATACAGAGAGCACAGGGAGATGACGGACATTGTTCTGGTGTGAGGAGGAGAGTCAGGAACTGACCATTAATGTCCAGCAGGTGGACACTTGAGTAATTCTTACTAAAGCCATTGCACACTAATACGTGTCCAAGAACATTTGCACAGATTCCATAAGGATGGAATCCAGACTGAGAGTGGTGACCAGAGTAAGAAAACCGATATTCTCCTGTTGCAGTCACCACCACAACTTTAGCAGCATCCAAGTCTGATGTCCAGATATCACAGTTGATATTCTCTGTGAGGTAGTAAATACTTTGATAAAGATTTTGTCCTTTATCATCCCACTGTATGTCTTGTAGCTTTTTTCCTTCTCTACTGTATCTGGTTATCCTCATGAATTTATTTTTCTCCATCCCAACCAGTATGTGTTCATTGATAAGAGAGGAGTAGATGGCTCCAGGTATCCATTTCCCTGTCTCAATTAGTTTGTTGATGGACATGTCATTAGTTACTCTGTAGACAGTGTTTGCACTGTTATCTGTGCAAAGAAGTTCTCCCTGTGTGGTGACTGAGTGGTTACCTTGGAAATACCTTGAACTGATGTGTATATTATTTGATGAGACGTTTCCTTCATACTGAATGAGATATCCTGAGACATCACTAGCCCAAAATTTATCGAGAGCCAAGGGAGACAAATGATAAGCATGTCCCTGGATAGCTATTTCACTTTCTTTTGTGACAGAGGAAAGCTGAAACTTTGCAGATGACTCTAGTTCAATTCCACCAAACTGCTTGGATATTTCTTTTTTATTTAGTGTACCTACTGTGAAAATAGGCAATTCTGGTTTAGCTTTGTTAGGCATCTTCACAGTAGCTAATGAAATATCTAGATGGAATTTGATTAATTCAGTGGGATTTATTGATGACATTTTACTCTCATAGTCTACAATCATTTTTTCCAGGTACTTTATGTAGTCCTCTATTTCCTTCTGATGTTCCACCATAATATTTAGCACAGAGTTCTCGATCTCATCCAGTATTTTATTATTATCAGTTAGTATATTGTCAACAATGTCCTTCATTTCATCTGCTCTCTTCTTCATGGAAAATCTTACCTTGGCAATTTCTTTCTTGACATTATCCCTCTTTTCTAAAATTGATTTGACATTATTTTTAGCCCCAGGAATTGCTTTTTTCCAGATCTCAGTTATTTCCCTCTGACATTGCTGTAGAATTTCATTGTAGATATTTTCAAGGTCACACTTTTCATGATCACCGTGGTGCTGGGTAAAGCAGGTAGAACAAATAGGATTCTGACAATCATCGCAGTAGATATCTATATCTTGTGTTGGGTGGGTCATGCATTTTTCTGACGGAAGTTTTCTTTTTTTCTCCTGATAAAGGACAATCTCATGTCCTTTGTTCTTCACTAGGTGGCGCTGTTTGCAATGGCCACAGAATCCCTGATGACAGGTATTGCAATAAAACTCAGAGAAGTTTCTACAAGATTTTATGTCACACTCGATATAGTGCTGGGCTGTATCTGGTACATGTAGTTCATCCATTTTTGTTTATCAAATCTGTAAAAAAAAAATCATTATTATCATAGTGAAGGCGAGGTACTTATAAGTTGGTTTATCTTACAACACTTGCTAGATGCTACCTAAACTTATTACCTTTTATATGATGTAGCTGGAAAATGAATATCTTTTACAATATCCCACATTCATGATTAGTGTCAGTCATTGGTAATTTATGTGCATTTAAGAAGAACGCAGTATACTACCTTCTTCAAACAAAAACATTTAAATCTCTTTGTATTCTTTGCAAAGCTGCGGGATTTAAAGAAAAAGGGGTTCCAATAATTTAAAGAAGATAAGGGTAGCATGAAAAGGTGACCATAATGTTAAACAATATTGGCTGGTTCTTTGTTTGCAATTAAATGATAAAAAGAAGTGGTTCATATAATCCTGATGGTTATGAATTGACCTCATGCTCATGTTTTGTTTTAAACTAAAGGAATTCATGCATTTTAGGAAGAATTTGCTGAGAAAAAAAATGACGTTAACCCTTTGACAATCGTATCTGTCAAATCCGACCGATAAGCCTTTTTTTTCTAGCGTAGCTCTAAAAAATTTCCAAAAGTCAGGTACCATTTTAATCTTGAGACTCTATAGAAGTTTATTTTTTGCAAAAACCTATAAAATATAAACATTTATTTCTTAATTTACTCTGACTTAATTACGAGAAAAAACTTCGAAATTAAAATGTGCTTTTTCTACAGCATTCCTCCTTATTGTAAAAAAATAATGTTTTCAAATAAAAAATTACCTAAGAATCAGGAAAATTTTAAGAAACTATTCATATATTTTTTTTCCGCAGAAATGTATTGAAAGAAATGAAAAATTCAAATGTTTATTGCAGTGGTCAAACTGGTATTGGCGTAAAACATGTAATTTTAACAATCGACTTTAAAATTGTATCGACAAAAAGTAAAGGCGTATTTGGAAAATGTGAATTTAGTTGAGAAAAGTAAAAGAATGTAGCTTTTATTTGGTACATGTTTTAAAGTTCTCAGTTGAATAAATCCCATACATATCCACGCTTGATATGTTTTAGGGGAGACTACAGGACTGGGAAGAGATTAAACATGAGGAAAGTCATTCCATACATCGCCAGTCAGTTCAGGAAAGACAAAATCTGGCTCCGTCGTACGAAGCCCAGCAAACGACAGTACCAGATCAAGCTGGCTATAGACGACTCCTCAAGTATGGTGGACAACCACTCCAAACAGGTCAGTAATAAAAACATGGAGGGTAGGTCAAGACACAGACAGAAACAAAAAGACATAAATCAAACAAAAACGTCAAGGGTAAACAACAGAAATAAAACACAAAAGTAAATCTGATTTAAATTTATAGTATGACAGGCAAAATAATGGAGGGGGCATAAATTTTTGTGGATGATTTTTAATCAAAAGAAATATCAGTCCTGTTTGCAGAGGTATTTTCTTTTAACAGTTGGCTTTTGAGTCCCTGGCCTTGATTTCTAATGCCCTGCCTTTGTTAGAGGCAGGAGATTTAAGTATCTGCAGGTATGTTATGCATCAATGTAAAAGTAAGTTTCTGTTAATGGGAATTTAAAAAAAAGATTATAGTATGGCGAGTTCATTTTTTAACAAGCAAAAATTATATCCTCACACAGTTTTGGAGAGTCTGTACAAGTGCTTCACCCGTTCATTGAGCAGTTCACAAGTCACTCAGGGTCCAGATTGTTACAGCAGTTTACCTTTGAACAGAAGAAAACCAAAGTGGCTCAGGTAGGACTGAAAAGGTGTTAAACATGCATCAAATCTAGCCAATAAACACTATGACAACAGGTCTGTGTACTAAATCATACTTATTTTATTTTCGTTTCAGCTTTTGAAGAAAGCCACATCAGTGATGCTGGAGGCTCGGTCCCGACAGCGGGGAATGCTGGGTAATCCCGAGACGTCATAATTACTCCTGATCGTGTCTGATGGGCGGGGCTTGTTTAATGAGGGAATGGAGACAGTGAAATCAGCCGTCAGACAGGCTCGGGAGGCCGGGGTGTTTGTTATCATAGATAATCCCCAAAACAAGGTACAGAACTCACGAATTCCCCATGTTCTATTTTTTGGATAATTTGAGTGGATAATTTTGGATAATTGATAATTTGAGTTTGTCATACATGTATTACTTTTAAATATTAAATATCATATGTTTCCAATTCCAGGATTCCATATTAGACATTAAAGTCCCAGTTTTCAGAAGCGGAAGCCAGGTAAGAACTCTACAAAACAGAGAAGGATTAAATAATAAGTAATCAATAGCAAGCCTCAATGCTCTTTATGTCACTATATTTGCAAGTAACTTTGTGATGTGGTCCCTCAACCTCTTGTTTTCCTGAAAGTTATTATTTTACAGGAATTTTGTAATCATTTCTTATAAAAAGGGAGAGGGCAGATTATGTTTTAAAAACTTGTGTTGTGAATCCAAATAATTATCTTAGTTACTAGTATTATAAAAGTAAAGTATGTTTAAATCAAGGGGAGAACTGCAAAAGTTGTTTGACCTGGAATGATAATTAATTATTTTTTTTTATTTTACTAACTTTGATGACAAGCATAGTAATGTTCAAGAATATAGTGATGTTGATTAAAGACATGCAATTCATTTGTATTAGTCAATTTCAGCTTCCAGAAATCAAACCTTACATGGATTACTTCCCTTTTCCTTTCTACATCATACTGCGATATATTAACTCCCTTCCTCATGTGTTGTGTGACGCTTTAAGACAATGGTTTGAACTTGTGACCGCAGTGGATGTTTAATTTATTTTGTGTAGATTCTGTGTAATGCCTTTTAAAGACATTGTTTAAAGCTGTAACAGAGGTGATTTATTCTGTGTAGATGTTATTTGATGTCGTATGACAATGGTTGATCTTGTAAAAGCTGTGTATGATTATTTCTGTGTAGATGTTATTTGATGCCGTGTGAAGGCCGGTATACACGGTACGATTTGTATTATATGATTTGTATTATAATACAAAATCTTACTGTGTATACACTCTTAATACAGTGTATCATAAGATTTTTCGAATCTTATAAAACTGTATTAAGAATAGAGCAATGCTCTTTTTCCTAATACAAGTCTTAACTCACCTTTTACTTTCAACCAATCAAATGTACTCACATTGGGGGTCATCCTATTTATATCATTTCTAAATAAAGCACATGGTAAATAATAATGGCCGACTCTTCGAATAAAAACTCGTGGTTTTTATGGGAAGGGGAAGAGGACTTGTGGAATATATTAAGCTGTAGCTACCACAAAAAAGATGCTAGAAGCAGAGCTTATTATTATCGTTTTTTTTATTTTGACAGAGAGAAAAATATGGCAGGAAAAAACACGTGGGGATAATAGTTTATTTACAATCTTATAAGATATGTATTAGCGTCTGTACAAGAAAGTATTATAATACAAAAGTATTATAATACTTGTATTATACTACAAATCTCATCGTGTATACCGGCCTTGACAATGGTTGATCTTGTAAAAGTTGTGTATGATTATTTCTGTGTAGATGTTATTTGATGCCGTATGACAATGGTTGGTCTTGTAAAAGCTGTGTATGATTATTTCTGTATAGATATTATTTGATGTCGTGTGACAATGATTGATCTTGTAAAAGCTGTTGATAATTATTCCTGTATAGATGTTATTTGATGCCGTATGACAATGGTTGATCTTGTAAAAGCTGTAGATGATTATACCTGTGTAGATGTTATTTGATGTCGTGTGACAATGGTTGATCTTGTAAAAGCTGTAGATGATTATACCTGTGTAGATGTTATTTGATGTCGTGTGACAATGGTTGATCTTGTAAAAGCTGAGATTATTCCTGTGTAGATGGATGTACTGTGGTTTGAGAAGGAACCTGTGAGGACATACAATGTATACAATACAAATGATAATACAATATGTGTGCAATACATATGAGATGGACATGATGTGACTAGAGTTTTTTAAGAAATAAGGTATCATTTTTAAACATCTATCGGGATATAAATACGGGGTGGTCACGAGATTAAATTCCATAAAGCCCGAAGGGTATTATGGTGAATTTAATCTCGTACCAACCCGTATTTATAGCCCGATAGAAGTTTTAAAATGATACCTTATTACTTATATTTACATTTGTGACTTATTCATTCTTTATATTTGCCACCGGTCACGGTAGCCTAGTGGTAGAGCGTTTGCTTCGTGATCGGGAGGCCCGGGTTCGATTCTCGATCGCGGCGCCGCGTCGTACCTAAGACGTAAACAAAGGTAGTGACTGTTCCTTCGCCAAGCGCTCGGCACTAGAAGTGAAAGTCACGGGTCTTTCGGATATGACCTTAAAAACGTAGGTCCCGTGTCACGGTAGGCGTTGGCACGATAAAGAACCCTCACTGCTCAATGGCCCTGAGTGCCGAGTATAGGTCTAAATTTGAAGCCCTTCACCGGCATCGGTGACGTCTCCATATGAGTGAAAAATTCTCAAGAGGGACGTTAAACAATATACAATCAATCAATCTTTATATTTGCCAGATTGTGACTTTTAACGTGCGAAATGCATTTTTTTTCAAACCGAACGGCAAGTGTGTAATCCACTGAACGCGCGTCGACCCTTTATGACGTCATTGAGAAATTACGTCAAACGTTTATCCATACGCTAATCTATGACCTCTTGACCCCGTACCTGTATTTATACAGTTATAGATACGCATTGCTTTCAGTAGTGTTATATAAAGGAAAACATTTGCAAATGTAAATATAAAAAAATGAACAAACCACGCATGATTATTGAATTCATCTATTGTATAACAATGGTTACTATCTTTTTAAATATTTTGTTTCTAGTGAAACATTATACCATGTTATACACTAGATAAATATTCTTTTTCACATTTCAAAACTCGATGATGATGTTAATATATGCTCCCAAGTGATATTATGAGCTGAAAAAATTAGTTGATAACTTTTGGACGAGAAGTGTTTT